GTACAATTTGGTATGACTTCCAGGTATATTGAACTGTTCTAGGCGGAGGGATGATGATCCACTCTTCATAAATTGAGCAAGCTCTAGGTCGGAGGCTTGGGATTCAGCTATAGCAGTCAGGTCAACAGGTGCCTCCAGTTCTTCGATGCGGCTTAAAGTGTCGGCAACGACATTGTCTTTGCCGGAGATATGCCTAATATCGGTGGTGAACTGGGCAATGAAATCTAAATGCCTATACTGACGTGGCGAGCAGTTGTCCTTCCTTTTGTGGAATGAGAAACTGATCGGCTTATGGTCAGTATAGATAGTGAAGTGCCTTGCTTCCACCATATGACGAAAATATTTAATAGCTTCGTATATAGCTAAAAGCTCTCGATCATATGGGGAATATCTCTGTTGACTTGGGCTCAACTTCCTCGAAAAGAAGGCAAGTGGTTGCCAGACTCCGTCTTTGAGCTGCTGGAGTACGGCACCTATGGCGACGTCAGATGCATCAGTCACGAGTGCCAATTTAGCTTCGCAGTCTGGGTGGGCAAGCAAGGTTGCATTCGCGAGACTACGCTTGCACTCCTCAAAAGCTTTTGCTGCCTCACCGTTTAAACTAATAGGTTGCCTACCTTTAACAGCCCCTGTCAGATGGTTGTTAAGGGGAGCTTGTTTTTGAGCAGCATTCGGCAAAAAACGCCGATAAAAATTTATGATGCCCAAAAACCTTCTTAGCTGTCGCACCTCCTTAGGTTGAGGGAAATCTAAAATAGTTTGGACCTTATCAGCCAAAGGTTTGATTCCGTTTTCGGAGATACGGGACCCTAAAAATGTTACCTCCTTTTCGCCGAAAGTACACTTGGAAGTGTTGATGAGTATACCGTAGCTTTTAAGTCTGCTAAACACTTGGCGAAGGTGTTCCTCATGCTCCGCTTCGTTTCGTGAGAAGATCAGGAAGTCGTCAAGGTAAGAGTAGCAGAATTCTAATCCTCTGATCATCTCGTCCACGAAGCGTTGAAAAGTTTGTCCTGCGTTACGGAGGCCGTAGCCCATAAAGGGAAACTCATACAACCCGAACGGCGTTGTTATTGCGGTCTTAGGGATGTCGCTCTCACTGACAGGTATTTGGTTATATGCTTTTACAAGGTCAATGGTACTAAACACTTTGCATCCGGTTATGCTATGGGTAAAATCGTGGATGTGCCTGATTGGATACCTGTCAGGAATGGTCCGGGCATTGAGCATCCTATAGTCTCCACACGGACGCCACCCGTTATCCTTCTTAGGGGTGAGGTGAAGAGGTGATGACCACGGGCTTGCGGAGGGGCGGGCTATACCATTGGCGATCATGGAGTCGAATTCTTGTTTGGCAATTTTAAGTTTGTCTGGTGCTAAACGCCTGGGTGAAGAAGTCACCGGTGGACCTGGTGTCGTGCGAATGTGGTGAACAGTGTTGTGAGGTATAGTGTGTTGTGTACCAGCTGGCCGTGTAATCTCAGGGTACTCACCCAAAATTTTATGGTACCGCGTGCAGCCAGTCGAAACCTTTACAGATGTTACATTATCTGAACAAGAAATTAAACATACATTAGTTCTTAAAGTAGTAACATTATCTATTAAGCATTGATTTCTACAGTCTACAATAAGATTATAAAACGATAGGAAATCGACACCAATTATTGCTTTGGTGACATCAGCCACCACAAAACGCCACTTAAAGTTCCGACGCAATCCAAGATCGAGACTTAGATGTGCGAAGCCATAAGTTTTTATGGGACTCCCATTTGCTGCGCAGAGTTCATAATTTGTGGGTGTCCGCCGATCTCGAAGTAATGAACGAGGATACACACAAAGGTCGCTGCCTGTGTCAATTAAAAATTGTATTTTCGACGAACGGTCCGTGACGAACAGGCGACCAGTTTTACTAGGACAGTCATCAGTCGCCATTAAGGACTGTCCTTGCAGTTTCCCGTCTTGTAGTCACATGGTGCCACGCATTTATTCGCGCGGTTACCAAATTTCGCGTGGTACCAGCATAGTGGGAATTTCCTATAACGTGACTGCGATCGAGATTTCGACCGCCCTCTATGTGGATTACGTGTTCGGGAACGAGCTCTACAGTTTACCTGTGTGGTCAATTTGTGTAGTTGTTTCCGTAGCTCGGCGACTTCATGGGTAAGAGCGTCGAAGCTGGAACCAGGTGTTGCGGTAGCTGTTGAGGCGGCTGCAGCTACCTGTGGTGACGCTGGAACGATATCCTGAATGCGGTCTGCCAAGTCCGCCAGCACCTCCAGCGACGCGCTAGGTTGAGCCGCTAAAACTGTTTGGATGTTCCTTGGAAGTCTGCTTGTCCAAATAGTTTGCAGGAAGTCATCAGGAACTTGAGGTCCAGCAAGGCTCTGGAGATGTCGCAGGAACTGCGAAGGCTTTCTGTCGCCTAGCTCCTCATGCATAAGAAGCTGTTTTACCTTCTTTTCATGTGAGGTACTCAACCGTTTTATTAACTCAGTCTTCAATTTTAAGTATTTGTCATTGAGAGGAGGGTTAATAATTATATCTTTTATCTCTTTTGAAAATTGATGGTCTAATTGGCCGATGACATAACTGAATTTCGTCGAGTCGTTCGTGATTCCAGAAATCGCAAATTGTCCCTCGACTTGCGCGAACCATATTTCGGGTTCTTCGGGCCAAAACGGAGGAACCCTAACGCCTACTTTAAAAATTTCCGTTGAAATGTCGGCCGCTTCGGTTGTACGGGTCTCGCCGCTGCCTACCCGTCCTTTTGCATTTTTATTATTGCTGCCACTGCTTGCATGTTCAAAATAATCACCGCGGTCCATAGTGTTCAGTGCAGGGGTCACCAATGTAGGTCAGAAAGGTGTGTAGAAATAAAGTTGCTCACCAAAGTTTATAAGGAATATATTCACTAACACACATGACACTAACAAAGTTTAAGGCTCACAGTACAGAAGGAAGGAAGCGTTGAAGAATGAAGATGAATACAATTATGAAAGTCCGAGCAGATATGAAAAACAATAAACATAAATTAAGCAGCGCGTAAGTAGCAACAGTTATGATATAAGGCGTAAAGCATTGAGCGACATGCGCTTCGCGTCGAGAGTAGGTTCCGACTGCCAGGCGCGTCGTTGATCGCGGTCACTGCGCCGGAGTTCATCGCGCCACCACTACGTCATCGCTATGAACAAAAGATTCGAATTTTTTTGCTCGACGATACGATTGCACGGCGAACTGGTTAAATGCGTGGTGTTCCGTATATTATTATGAATGTGTAAAGTAGTGTACGTGTGTTAATATATATGGCACGTATATTAATAAATAATATATATTAGATAAATGATCTGTTAATATTATTGTTATTAAATAAATGACATGTAAATAAATAAATAAATAAATAGGTGCCTACATCAGCATAATGTCGTATGGTATTTTGCTATAGGGACACGCAGCTGACACTGAAATTATATTTGTTTTACAGAAGAGGGCCATAAGGGCAATTTATGATTTAAAGCCTAAAGAATCGCTGCGTCAAAAATTTAAGGAAATTAATATATTAACTTGGACCTCTCAATACATTTATGAAAATGTAATCTACGTACACCAAAATAAAAGTAAATTTTACAAAAATAAGTGATATTCATTCTGTAAATACTAGGAACAGACACAAGCTAGTAGTACCAGTTACTCGACTCTATCGAGTCAGTAATTCATTCTTGGGGCGATGTATACGCTTTTACAACAAAATTCCAGAAAATATACAAAGTTTGACCTGCTCAAAGTTCAAAAACTTTATTAAACTAAGTTTGTATAAAAAGGGTTATTATAATATTAAGGAATTTATGGATGATAATAACCCCTGGAAATGAGGTGATCGCTACCAAGCTATTTCTAATTTGTTGTGTTGTTAATTTGTGTAACATACATGATTGTAAGCTGTTATTTAAAAAAAAAGTCCCGCTGGGTTTCTTGCTAGTTCTTCCCAGGACAGAGGTTTTTTCCGAACCAGTGGTAATCAAACAAAAGAGTGACTTTGAATAAGTATTATTTATAATCTATATTGAATAAAAAAAGTTTCTGTTTCTATGATTTTTTTATTATTATTATTATTTCAGATGGCAAAGGTGGTTAAAAGCTGTTGGACGAGCAGATCTCATTTAAGAACCTTTTGATTATAAAAAATGTAACAATATAGACTCTGTGAGGATCACAAAATCATGTATTAAGTTTTATAAAAAAAGACCTGTAAAATATTTATTTGGAAATAATTTTCTAACACTCTTGCTAACAAATGATGGTACTTGTTTAAGTTCCAGCCAATATGAGAATGCATCTGAAATGAATATATGAATTGCTTGAGCAAAACTTTTGCGAATATTTTGATCTCGATAGAAACATTGTAACTATTGGTAATGAAATATTAAAACGTATGCAAGATTTTATATTTGTTATGCCATGTGAGTGTTTTCCAATAGATTAATAAAAAACTTTACATTAGAATTATAATTTACCATTTAATTAAAAGGCATAAATTATTGAAAACCAAAAATTTTAAAATAGAATATTTACAATTAGTAGTTAATAAAAAAAATGTTATATCTTAAGTATATAATAAAAGCTGATTAACGGTTTGTTTATTTAATTTTATCCTCCTGTGCCAACCCTACCAAAATAAGTAAAAATTTTGACAACTTATAAGCTTCCTACTTATTTATTTATCTATGCTTTGCCTATGTACGTTTTGTTTAATCATGTGTAAGTAACTTGGGCTAGAAAGGCTAGAACCCAGAGCTGTAAATCCAGTTTAAAAAAAACAGTAAATTACAGTAAACGGCAGTAAATCAGCAGTAAATAAATATGAGAAATTGAGAAACGACAAACGAAGAAGTGAAAATAGCTACAAATTATAGAAACACTACGTGACTACGCTATTTACTACATATTTATTACTATGAGCAGCGTAATATGAACTAAATTGTCTGATTTTTATAATAAAAATCATGTCGAGCATAAATTACACAACTCGAACCGAGGGACAAACTAGAATAAATACTATATTATGGACTGTTCCAAACTTCATCAATTTACTTGAAAATAAAAGCACTCGAGAATTTAGAACTGTTAAAACACAAGATCAAAGTGTCGATCTCACCGATTCAAGATTTCAGTTAAAAATGCAATTCTTGGGACGTGATAATGACATAATCGAAATATACTACCTTTCTCCAAACCCAGTATTCTTAAAATCTATATTAACAATATGCTTGAAACGTTTCGAAGAACGTTCCATTGTTATAAAGGAATACCATACAGTGCAAGCTAATAAGTGGCAATATTTAGCCACACTGTTTAAAAGGGATATAGCAAGCTATGATGGCCGTGAAATATTTTTGCTGAGTGATGGAAGTTTACGTTTAAAGTTTCAATTTATGGTTTCTAATGATATAAAAGTTGACCGTACTAATGTTCCTGAAGCCCAGCTAAGTAATGATTTTGAGAATCTTCTTAATAATGGACTGTTTTCAGATGTCACTATGAAATCGGCAGAAGGCAATGAATATAAAGTCCACAAAGCTGTGCTTGCCAGCAGAAGTGTCGTTTTAAAAGCTCATTTTGAGCACAATACTACTGAATGTTACACAAATGTTGTGGAATCACCATTGGAATCGGAGGTTTTAAGGGAAGTTCTAACATTCATATATAGTGATAAAGCACCAAGGGTTGATGAAATTCCTGAGAAACTACTTGCTGCTGCTGATTTCTATCAACTAAGTAGACTTAAGAGTTTTTGTGAAGAAGCTTTACATAAAAAGTTGACAGTTGAAAATGCAATTGAAACATTGCAATTGGCTGATTTACATTCCGCTAAAACCCTGAAACAGTTGACACTAGAATTTATCAAGGATGGACAGGCTAAACTAATAACAAAAACAGAAGGGTGGGCAAAAGTAAAATCTGTTGACTTGATTAAAGTTATTTATGAGTACATAATGGCAGATGACTTTGAAGCTGATATAAAATGAATTTAAATATTAATGTGTAATTATGTATATTTTTTATATCACATTTTCATAATTTCACATGCATAGTGCAATTTTATTTAAAGGTAAAATTTGTTTTACAGTACCTATTATAAATTTATGACTTAATTTTTTATTATTTTTTGATTTTTAAGTTATTTTAATATGCCGTAATCTCTATACATTATGTTGTATTATGATAGTATTGCAAATTAATCTTAGTTTTTTTTTATAATAAAGTCGTCATTGCCAAATTAGCCGTATTGACATGGATGTTAAATAATTATTCTAGAGTATTGTTGTTGTGTCGGCTGCTTAGGTTCTAAAATTAATATACATAGTAAGCAAGTGTTGGTTTTTTTTTTAAATTTTTTTTATAGGAGAGGGCTACGAGCATGCAGCTCATCTGGTGGTAAGTTACTACCGCCGCACATGAACAACCGCAACACCAGGGGAATTGCAGATGCGTTGCCGGCCTTTTAAAAATGCGTAGGCTCTTTTCTTGAAGGTCCCTAAGTCATATCGGTCCGGAAAAATCGCTGATGGTAATTGATTCCACAAGGAAGTCGTGTGAGGAAGAAAACATCTAAATCGCACAGTGGGAATTCTGTCAAGATGTGTGTGGTTAAGAAATGAAACCAATTTATGTGTACCAGAATTTGATTGTGATTATAGAGTGAACAGATTTAAGTCAGTTGAGAATAACTATCATGATTTGGATTATAAAATTAACAAAGTATATGATTTCTAATTGAGAACTTGAGGACATTCGAAAAATATGTGATCATTGGAAACTTCATCAAGACCACATTCACAAGAATTATCCCTTATCCTTAATTTGCCTAGGTGTAGCGGTGTGCAAGAATGACCAAAGCGAAGACGGCAAATGGTTGATGTAGTAAATTTATTAGCTTCACGATAATGGAAAAACCAAGGTTTGTATGGGATTGTGCCTTGAACCTGAGTGTAGTGTTTACATTTCATGGTTTTAGTTTGGTCCCAGAGACCTTGCCAAGATGCCATGAAGTCAGATCCTGCTAGTGGAAGCAAGTCATGGGGGAAAATTTGGTACTGAGAGAGGATACCTGTTCGTGTTGCTTTCTTAGCCAAGAAATCAGCACACTCATAACCACATATCCCAGAATGGTCTGGAATCCAAGCCAGAACAACTTTTAGGCCTTTTTTGTGACAATTATATAATGGTTTTTTAATAAAGAGGATAGGAAAAGATTTGATTCAGAGTGGAAGAAGCTGGAGATAGTAGTTTGGAGACAGCTAAGAGAGTCAGAAAGAATTAAGGTATTTTCCAGGTTGTGAGATTCGGCATATAGAATTGCCTCTAAAATGGCAATAGATTCATGTGTGAAAACTGATGATTCAGGTGGGCACTTAAAATTTAAAATTATTCTTTATTTAGGGATCCAAACTGCAGAACCTACACAATCTTTGTTAGAAGTTTTAGAAGCATCTGTGTACATAATGATCCAGTCTTGCCAATTTTCTGAGATGATTTTCTTAAATTTACTGTTAGGATTGTAGCAGCCAGGCTAATCAACCCTAAACGGTAATAAATAATGTATACCCTGCTACTACCATAACGCAGAAGACGAAGGTATGAAGAAAACATTTATTTCCTAATTACCCCCGGCTACTGAGATACTGCGAGCTGCATATAGATGCGAGATAATTTGACGTTCTAATATAGAAACAAGAAGCAGCCGCAAATATCATCAGCGCCGCATCGTATTCATACGTCGGCTATCTTCATTCATCCGTCGACCATTTCCGAGCCGTTTCTTCAACGCCGCAGCTTCGCTTCTTCTTGCTGTTCCGGAGATGTGTCCCACGCCGCCGCCGCTCGCCCATTACGCGCGCGCGTTTTTTTTTTGCGCCCAGAATCCTAACAGCAATTGGAAAGGGCTATCAGGGTAGGAACGCGAGGAAGTGGAGAATGCTTTATGCATACCACGACAGCCGGTCTGTCGTGGTTATGCGGGACTCACTGACTATCCTAACCGGGACCCTAAGTGATACCCGCTAAACTCCACTTTAGGGATGGCCAGTGACCTTTGAGGCCTCTCTGCCAAATACCGGAAGCGACCCTCTTTTGGGAAAAGAGCAGCTACTAGAAGCTATCCACGAGTCTTACGCCGGCAAATGGAACGCGACATATAATAGTTGTACATAATATTTTATTGATTAATCTGTATTGGTCAAAATGTATGAATTGTAATTGGCTAAGTAAATAAAAATTATTACTATTGATAAACTAAGGACGTAGCCGGGCATATAAATAATGCTGCCATTATTACTACCCTGCGGTTAGCTGAATAAAAACGATACTCCATTCCATAGATAAATATACCTAGTCAGGTCATAAATTCTGTCACATGTTTAATATAAAATAATTGAAACAAGTTTATTCATTATGTAATCATTTATATACCAAAATGAACTTAACAAAACATAGATTCTTATGACACTAAAATTTATTCAAAATGACCTCCGTGATTTTGAATACAGGCCTTCAATCTGCGCGGCCAGTCGTCTGTCGCAGCACGAACGAGGTCCATGTCAATATCGGCGGCTGCCGTATATATTATAAATTGGCATGAGGCTTTGAGCACGCCTTTTCCTCCAAGTGTTGCCATATCTTGTAATCTAACGGATTCAAATCTGGACTGGAGGAGGGCCAGTCTTAGTGCCGGATGAAGTCGATTTCACGCGCCGCCAGCCAGTCTTGTGTGCTCTTTTCTCTATGAGCTGGCGCCGAATCTTGTTGGAATACCCAGTGCCTGTTATTGAACATGGTATGAGAAACAGGTTCCACAAGGTTCGTCAGGTTTTTTTCATATCTCAGTTTTTTTTGTTATTTATTATATAGTTAAATTATATATTTTTTATATTCGATATCAAGGGCTAACTCCAAAATATTGCATTATGTTTTTGTTCAGGCGTTACTCTAAAAAAATACAAAAGCCTATTTATCTACAAAATTCGTAAATGCATGTAACTAAATGACGATACAATAGTTATAGGATGTATCTAAGTGACCTTTATCCGAACGTTAAATGTGAATAGCGTTTATTGGTTTTGGTGCGAGAAGTTATCGAATCCGAGTCGATTTCGCTTTCCGAGACGATTGTGAATAGCCCGGCTGGAGTCCTAACAGACCGAGGGCGACCACTTCTTGACCTGTCATCTACACTAGAATCTTCATTGTATCGTTTGATGGTACGATAAACGAATCTTTTGGTTATATTCAAATTTTTCAGTATGTCAAAAATTTGAATTGGCGCGTAACCGCAACTATGCAACGCAATAACTGCAACACGGTCTTCTTTAAGCGTCCACTCCATATTTAAAAATGAGTAAAATTCTAAAAAGTATACAGTTTTATTTTCATGAACAATTCGAAATTCGAATTCAATAAACTTTTTTGTGGCCAGCATTCTAAAAAAAAGTGTTTACTGTGTGACAATACTTATGACCTGACTAGGTATATATCATTATATATTCCCTATATATAATGTACTCTGTGGTATATATATAGTTGTAGCAAGCTATAGTGCCACCAACTTATCTGTTCAGTTGACAGAGTCGCTAGTGGAGTGCTTACTATTGCCATTTAAGAAATTTACCGAGGAAATAGGTGACTACATATTCATTACACATAATATAAAATAAAACAAATTTCGTGTTAATATATATATATATATATATATATATATATATATAAATTATATTTATATATATATATATATATATATATATTAACACGAAATTTGTTTTATTTTATATATATATATATATAATTTATATATATATATATATATAAAATATATATATATATATTTTATAAAAATAATTGTGGTCGTGGTCTCGGAGTTCAAGCGGTCGAACTTTAGGAATTCCTGTTTTGAAAGATGTACCCGCATTAGATACTGGTTCCAATAATTCATCTTCTGAGTCACTGGAATCGGTTTCGCTATCGCTCTGACACTCTATAATAAAGGGTTCATCTAAATACGCGTCTTTTAGTCTGTATTCATTTTCAATTTTTTTCACATGATTGCATATGTTTTTCCACTGCACCGGTGTAATTTTATTAAATGCATCTTCAATTAATTGCGGCATTAGAACATTAGATTTTCCAACATTTTTGTCTGCTATGTTCCTTTTCATAGAGCTCCATATCATTTCAATTGCATTCAAGTCGCAATGATAAGGCGGCAATCTAAGAATAGCATGGCCATGACTTTTCATCAGGTTATCAATTTCGTATTCCGGAGCAGGTTTATTTCTCTTTATTAATTCATAAAGCTGAGGTTTTGTCATTTGTTCATTGAAACTTACATTGTTTTTTTCAAGCCACTTCTGCATATCAGCCTTACTGTGGTTTGAATTAGGACACCTAATTACGCAAATACTATGATATGGCGCATTATCCATTACAATGAGCGAAGGTTCATGCAGATTAGGTAGTAATTTTTCATATACCCATTTTTTGAAATTAATGCTATTCATTTCATCATGGTAGTCCCCATATTTTGTATTTGATTTAAATACGAGAAGGGCATTCTCCACAAAACCTTTTTCTCCACCTGCATGGATTATGATCCACCTATTACCTTTCGAAACAGGTTCCAAATCACCATCTTCTTCAGGACCTTGCCAACATTTCCCAGTTGAGTGAGACGAGTGAATGTAAGTTTCGTCTAAATAAATAACAGGTCTTTTTTCACCACGCTCATTTTCTTTAATTTTTTGTAGGTAGGTTGCTCTCCATGCAACTACGTCGTTACGTTCGCACAACACTTTTCTATTTGATTTCGTTTTCTTATAACGAAATCCTATTTTGTGAAGCAACTTTCGAAGAGTTTCACGTTCTCCTTTGAAATCAATATCTTCCTTTAAAATACTCAGTAATTTGGGTATGGTAGGGATTTCTTTTTTCACTGAATAAAATTCGTGAATTTTTCTTCTTATAACACCAATGTCAA